TATATAAGAACTACTTATTGGAGAGTTATTGGTTAATATTACTAAGAAAAATATTAACCAGTAATATCCCACTCTTCACAATTTAGTTGAAGGGATAGTTCACCCAAAATCTTAACATTCTAGAAAGTAAATATTGAGATTTATTTTCTTATTAATAAATTATTATTAAACAATTAATATTTGTTTTCTTTGAGTAATGTTAAGAAATGTATTTCTTAATAGTAAATAATAATTATTATAAATTACTCATAAGAATATGAGCTCAAAGTTTAACAAACTATTGAATTGTTAAAAATATATTTATGAAAATGGTAATTAATGTTAATGTCTGTTTTTAGTAAGAAAATGTTTACTTTCTAAATATTTAAGAAAATAAATGTTGAGATGTATTTTCTTAATAATAAATTATTATTAAACAATTAATATTTATACGGTTTTCTTTGAGTAATATTAAGAAATTTATTTAAATTATTATTAAACTAATTAATAAATTAACATTAATTATAAATATTAAGAAAATAAATTGTTTATTTGCACAATCTTTATATATAAGAACTACTTATTGGAGAGTTATTGGTTAATATTACTAAGAAAAATATTAACCAGTAATATCCCACTCTTCACAATTTAGTTGAAGGGATAGTTCACCCAAAATTTTAAATCTGTGCGAGTTTCTTCTGTTCAACATGATAGAAGATATTTTGAAGAATGTTGGTAACCAACATAGCCATTGACTTCCATAGTAGGAAAAAAAAATACAGTGGGAGTCAATGGCTACCAGCAAATGAACATGCTTAACCCTTTTGACTTGTTGTTGATCTGTTTCTGTCTTTTATTGGTTGTTCATACTGTTTATACAGGAATGTGACTGCCATCTAGTTGTTTAAGTCTCCTAAATCTAGATAAAACGGTCTGTTGGATTGAGTAAGATAGATGGTTGTGTGTGTGTTCAGGCTCTGGCCGATGAGAACGAGTACGTGCGAGACACGGCCCTGCGCGCCGGCCAGCGCATCATCAGCATGTACGCCGAGACGGCCATCGCTCTACTGCTGCCAGAGCTGGAGCAGGGCCTGTTTGACAACCTCTGGAGGATCAGGTACCTCACATCGGGCCGTCCATCACTTCAGAGACGGTTGTCATAGCGATGGATGCTGATGCTGAGTGTTTGTGTTCTCTTAGATTCAGCTCGGTGCAGTTGCTAGGCGACCTGCTGTTCCATATCTCCGGGGTAACAGGAAAGATGACAACAGAGACGGCATCAGAGGATGACAATTTTGGCACGGCCCAGTCGAATAAGGTAACTGTAATGAGCCCCTGGAATGGACCACAGGGGCCCGTACATTCAGGACAGGGTCTGACGGCCATGCTTTCATTAGAAGAGCAAAGTAGATCCCTCACTTCCTGTTGTGCTTTTGTTCTAGGAAACTTTGTGTGTAAATGTGTTTGTAATAAATTTCCCCAGGCCATCATTGGAGCGCTGGGTGCAGAGAGACGCAACCGTGTGCTTTCTGGGCTCTACATGGGCCGCTCAGACATACAGCTGGTGGTCAGACAGGCGTCTCTTCACGTGTGGAAGATCGTGGTGTCGAACACGCCGCGAACGCTACGAGAAATCCTGCCCACTCTCTTCACGCTGCTGCTGGGCTTCCTGGCCTCCACCTGCCCAGACAAGAGAACGGTACAGCCAATAGCCAACTACAGTCCCTTTTGATTTTTGTGGCCTGCAAAAGATGCGTTTGTTTTTTGGAAATTTGTTTCCATGTTAGCAGCTACATCAGAATTGTAGTAGGAGTTTGATGTCGTTTGGAAAGCAGTGTGTATTTAGTATCATAATAATTGTGCTGTAATGTTTTTTATTGTGATTTATTATTTTTACATATTTATTATTTATTCTTTAAAAAAAAACATTTTGTCTAGATTTTGAGGAATAAAATACAGTAATGACATTTCTCTCCTGCAAGAATATGACATAAAAAAGTTTAACATAAACCGCTGAATTGTTAAAAAACTGTTTAAACAGTTTGATATCAAAATTATTTGACACACTTTATTTTCTGAATAAAATTATCATCATTAATGGTTATATTTGAGAAAATAAATATTAAGAAAGCTTTTTTAATTATAAATTAAGTAAATATTTGTTAATTTTAATATTAAGAAAACTACTTAATATTTAAGAAATAATTTTTGTAATAGCACATTATATTAATATTAAATTATTTTTTTATATATTTGAGAAAATGTTAAGAAATGTATTTTCTTAATAAATGGAGAAAATATTTGTTTATTTTAATATTAAGAACATTTTTACTTTGTTAATATTTAAGAACAAATATATATAAATTATTATAATTAATATTTAAATGTATTTTCTTAATAATAAATTAAAGTATTTGTTCATTTTAATATTAAGAAAATGTCTGCTTAATATTTAAGAAAACATTTTTGTAATGGCATATTATTATTAAAGTAATTCATATTTAAATTAATATTTATTTGAGAAAATATTAAGAATTTTCTTAATACATTGAGAAAATATTTGTTAATATAAATATTAAGAAAATGTTTGCATTGTTAATATTTAAGAAACAAAATTAATAAATTGCAATAATATTTAAAATAATGTTTATTTTCTTAATATTTATTGAGAAAATAAATATTAAGAAACTTATTTTCTTAATAATAAATTTATTTTAATTATTTAAATTATCAAATAATATTTTAAAATTTTAACATTAAGAAAATGTTTACTTTTCTAGTATTTAAGAAGACATTTTTTGTTTAAATTATTTTTTTATATATTTGAGAAAATGTTAAGAAATGTATTTTCTTAATAAATGGAGAAAATATTTGTTTATTTTAATATTAAGAACATTTTTACTTTGTTAATATTTAAGAACAAATATATATAAATTATTATAATTAATATTTAAATGTATTTTCTTAATAATAAATTAAAGTATTTGTTCATTTTAATATTAAGAAAATGTCTGCTTAATATTTAAGAAAACATTTTTGTAATGGCATATTATTATTAAAGTAATTCATATTTAAATTAATATTTATTTGAGAAAATATTAAGAATTTTCTTAATACATTGAGAAAATATTTGTTAATATAAATATTAAGAAAATGTTTGCATTGTTAATATTTAAGAAACAAAATTAATAAATTGCAATAATATTTAAAATAATGTTTATTTTCTTAATATTTATTGAGAAAATAAATATTAAGAAACTTATTTTCTTAATAATAAATTTATTTTGTAATAGCACATTATTATTATTATTATAGTAATTCATGCTTAATTTAATGTTTATTTTCTTAATATTTATGAGAATAAAAAAATATTTATTTTAATAAGAAAATGTTAACTTGATATTTAAGAAAAATTTTTAATAATATTTAAATACTATTTAAAAATTGTTTGAAAAAAGTATGACTGATGGATCAGTCCGTGTTTCTCTAAAGAAAGACTTCAATGCCTCCATTGCTTATGTTGTTTAGGTTAATGTCTGTGTTTTCCGTCTGTCCTGCTCCAGATCGCCGCTCGTACTTTAGGTGACCTGGTGAAGAAACTGGGTGAGAAGATCCTGCCTGAAATCATTCCCATCCTGGAGGAGGGTCTGCGCTCAGATAAGAGCGACGAGAGGCAGGGCGTGTGTATCGGCCTCAGCGAGATCATGAAGTCCACCAGCAAAGAAGCAGTGAGTTGCAGCTGATAAAATATGCTCACGATTCACTCTGTTCACATCATCGTGGTAAAGCGGTGTTTTTGTGTCAGGTTCTGGTGTTCTCCGAGTCTCTGGTTCCCACTGTGCGTAAGGCCCTGTGTGATCCTCTGGAGGAGGTTCGTGAAGCGGCTGCCAAAACCTTCGAGCAGCTCCACACCACCATCGGTCACCAGGCCCTCGACGACATCCTGCCTATGCTGCTCAAACAACTGGTGCGGCCTCCCTCCCACAATCCCTGCGTTTACTTTGCATTGCTGAGAAAATAAAGAAAGAACAGACGTTTAAAAAATTAATAAGCGATAAAACAATATTAAAGGGATAGTTCACCCAAAAATTAAAATTGATTTACTCACCCTCCACTTGTTCCAAACCTGTGTGAGTTTGGTGGGTAACCAAACAGCTGACGGTAGCCATTGACTTAGCATACTGTGGAAGTCAATGGCTACCGTCAGTTACCAGCATTCTTCAAAATGTCATCTTTTGTGTTCAACATCTGAAAGAAATGCATACAGGTTAAGGGTGAGTAAATGATGACAGAATTGTCATTTTTGGGTGAACTGCCTTTTTAAGAAACTAAAGAATGTAAATTAATGGGTTTTTGAATGAAGAATCCTGTGCTCAACGAAGCTGCATTTGTTTGATCAAAAATACAGTAAAACAGTAATATTGTGGAATATTATTACAATTTATAATGCAAAAATGGTACTTATTTCTCTATCTTTACTCCAGTCTTCAGTGTCACGTGATTCTTCGGAAATCATTCTAATATACTGATTTGCTGCTCAAGAAAGATTTCTGATTATCATCAATGTTGAAAACAGTTGTGCTGAATAGAGTTAAAAAAACAGCATTTTTTAAAATGAAGTATCAGTTTCTTTAAAAAAATCAAACTTTTGAACAGTAGTATAGTTCTGCTTTAAAACAGTATGTATGGTGAAAAGCATTAAAACGAACTTTGTGCTTTTTGTTGCAGGATGATGACGAGACGTCAGAGTTTGCTTTGGATGGATTGAAGCAGGTGATGGCTGTGAAGAGTCGATCTGTCCTGCCTTACCTGGTGCCTAAGGTGAGTTCTCTTTACTAGCGGCCTTTCTTAACTAACCTGTGCATGAACAAAGATTTATAAGCTTGTATATCCAGACAAACAACAAAGTCAGCGTAATATAAGCTTTTTCTGGACTAGAAATGACCACTTTAGGCTTGAAAGAATGACATTTAAAGTGACCAACCAGAGTTTGTAATTATTTACAGTATTTTAATTTCTTGTATCTAAGATTAATCCCTTGATATTTCAAAGGTTTGATCTTACAAACCTTACAAACCTATGCCACTCATTATATGTGCCCAATACCAGTGTTATTTTATTGCCATTGATATACTATTATAGTTTTGTTAATATATTGAATTCGATTTTTTTACTATATATTTTCAATTTTCACCGTTATATGCCGTTTTATACATATATAATTATGTACTAAAAAAGTATGCATATATATTTATATTAGTATATGTTATATGTCTATATAGATATATAGATATAGATATATATATCTATATATGTCTATAGAGTATTTATTCATATTTATTCATTAGTTTATTTTAGTACTTCAACTAAACAAAAATGAATAATGTTGCCTTGGAAACTAGCTGAAATAAAATGTCTTAAGTTTTTTTTTTATATATTTAATTCAGTGAAAGTTTATTTCAAATGGTGAAAATATTTTTTATGATTTTAGTTTTAGTTGGCGATAATAATCTGACTTTGTGCATGCTGATTCCAGGGAATGGCATAAAGCCAGCCAATCAGATTGGATCTTGCTGTTTTGAGAAAGCTGTGGGCATCTCTCAGACTGAGACTAGAATATTCCTTGCACTTGTTTACCTGTTAAATTTGGACTCTATTCCAGATAGTGTTATTTAACGCTTTATTTTTATCCCCTGTAGCTGACGGCTCCTCCTGTAAACACGCGTGTCCTTGCCTTCCTGTCTGCGGTGGCGGGAGACGCTCTGACGCGACACCTCGGTGTGATTTTACCCGCTCTGCTCTCCTCTCTCAAAAACAAGCTAGGCTCAGAGGAGTGCCTGCAGGTGAACATGACAGCTGTCAATCATTTCTATTGCTACATCACACATCCATTACCGCCCATAAATTGGAATAATTAAGATATTTTAATGTTTTTGAAAGAAGTCTCTTCTGCTCATTTATTTAATCAAACATACTATAAAAACAGTTATAATTTGAAATACTTTTACAATTTAAAATAAGTGTTTTCTATGTGAATATATTGTAAAATGTAATTTATTTCTGTGATCAAAGCTGAATTTTCAGCATCATTACCCCAGTCTTCAGTGTCATGTGATTCTTCCAGGGTTTCTGCGGGTCCTTAAAAAGTCTTAAATTTAGTTGTATCAAATTTAAGGCCAATAAAAGTCTTAAAGGTGCTGTATGTAAGTTTTTGACTCTACTAAAGCATAAAAATACCGTAATATGTTTGCAGATATTTAAGAAACATGCTAAGTTAACATATTTGTTTATCTGAAAAACAATGCTACAGTAAGGTATTCTCCTTTGAAAATGTGCGTTCCGGGCCGGAATGTCGGTCTCTGTTTTGGTTTGTGAAACCCGCCCACTGCCAGTTTACCCAATTGTATTTCGGCACCCCGGGTTGCCAGTTGGCAGGAAACACAGCGTATTTAATTTCATGGAAGCTGGCAAACGAAAGGGGTCAGAGCGGGAAATAGAACTTTCTGCCCCTCCTAAAAAACCTCGACATCCATCCAAAAAACTTTATGATCAACAACAGTAGCCTATAATAAAAGCAGAATAAATATTGACGAGGGCACGTTATTGGGATCTGTCTCAGGCTGCAGTGAGAAAAAACACAAGTCTACTACTATTTAGACATGAATGTGAAACTATTTATTAATTTTCTTCAGCAATGTGTTGTCGTCGGGGCAAAGAAAAAAGTAAAAAATACTAACTCCAGAGTGTGGATTTGCAGAATAGTGAGCTTATGTTTTCGGCATAACGGGCTTAACTGTCTATGTATAATTTATGCATAATTCATTGAGGCTGTCTCGTTTGAGAAAATTAACCTTTAGATTTCAAAGTAAGAAATAAATTGTAGTATTTTACACCTCACAATGAATAACAGTCTACTTGATTACGTTTACACCTGGGTCGCCTCAATGTTTGCGGCCGACAAATGCGACCTCCAGAGGACGCAGCAGCAGCCTCCGAAATGAGACGCAGATTCAGATTTAGAATATCTCTTTGGATTTGAGACTTTAGTCTTTGCAACTTTACAGATCTTCTTTATGCACCAAGAGCTTGTAACACTCCAAAGAGAAAGGAACAATTTAAATCGCATCATATGACCCCTTTAAAAAAAAATGAAGGTCTTAAATTTGGGGACTGAAAGACAAGAATTGCGATACGGCTTAATGTGAATGTGTGATTAAACTTCAAAAGGCTACGGTTTCATTGAATAAATGAGTGCTGCACATTTCAATGTCAATGCATTATAAAAATCGAAACAATTAAGACACTAAGATATATTTATATGTTATTAAAATTAATATAATAATTGATTGATGATAATTGTTTTAATTAATGTAATTGATACTTTTGACTCATCCCTTTTCTTAAAAAAGTTTATCGTTTTATAAAACTTGTTGTTTTTGTGAAAACCTGTATCTGAACTGTAAAACTTGCTTTTTACAGTCATTTTATGATTTAATATGTTACCATAGACATTGCCCTACTCTGCATATATGGTATTCATTTCATTTCTGCAGGTCTTAAAAAGCCTTAAATTTGATTTTAGAAATCCTGCAGATACCCTGTCCTTCAGAAATCATTCTAATATGCTGATTCGCTGCTCAAGAAACGTTAATGATTATTATCAATGTTGAAAACAATTGTGGTGCCGAAGAGTTTAGTGGAATCCGTGATACAGTACCATTCAAAAGTTTGTGATAAGTATACAAAAAACTCAGCTAGGATCCATTAAATTAATCAAAAGTGACAGTAAAGTCATTTATAATGTTTATTTTTCTGTTTCAAACAAATGCTGTTCCTTTTAACTTTGTTCATTAAAGATTCCTGAAAAAATATTGGGCAGCACAACTGTTTTCAACATTGATGATAACTAGAAATGTTTTTTGAACAGCAAATCAGCATATTAGAATGATTTCTGAAGATCATGTGACACTGAAGACTGGAGTAATGATGCTGAAAATACAGCTTTGATCACAGGAATAAATTACATTTTAAAATATATTCTCATAGAAAACAGCTATTTTAAATTAGGATAATATTTCACAATTTTACTGTTTAACTATATTTTTGATCAAATAAATGCAGCCTTTGTGAGCAGAAGAGACTTCTTTATAAAACATTGAATAATTGTAATAATTCTCACACTTTGACTAGTAATATGAACGCTCAACTCAGAAATTATTAGGAATCAGAATTGGCTGACAGTGTAAATGTGGCGTTTCTGGTCTTCTGCAGGAGCTGAGCAACTGTCAGACTGTGGTCCTCTCGGTGGAGGATGAAGTGGGCCAGAGAATCATCATTGAGGATCTGCTGGAGGCCACGCGAGGAGCAGACGCTGGGCTGAGACAGGCGTCTGTCACCATCCTCCACGGGTACTTCTCCCGAACACGGCTGGACTACAGCGCTCACACGCGCAGGCTGCTGTCTGGCCTCATGCGGCTCATGAACGACCCCAACCCTGAGGTGCTCAACCAGAGCTGGGACACCATCAACTCCATCACAAAGGTGAGCAAATCTTCTCAAAGTCTCTGTTGTTTATACCTGCTGTTATCATTCATCTCATGTGATCCAGTCGACAACCACGAATAGACTAGTTTTGTGATCCTTGACCTATTAGTATGAGATGTTTTATAGTTGGTAAGTTTGATTCATTTCTGTGAATTACTTCAATTTTCTTTTTCACTGAATCAATTCAAAGCTGATTCTGCATCACTGAAACCGATTGACAAAAAGCCTGTGTTTCTCTTAAAATAAAATGTTTTAAGTATTTTACATTGTTGCATATATGATACTGTTCAAAAGATTAAAGTCAGTTTATTTTTATTTTTTTTAAGAATTAATACTTATTCAGCAAGGAATAAGTAAAGACATTTATAATGTTACAAAAATTTATATTTTAAAGGAATGTTGTTCTTTTTAACTTAATGTTCTCAAAGAATCTTGAAAAATAAAATGTATCATGGTTTCCACAAAAATATTGTGCAGCACAACTGTTTTTAACATTGATAATAATTAGAAATGTTTCTTGAGCAGCAAATCAGCATATTAGAATGATTTCTGAAGATCATGTGACACTGAAGACTGGAGTAATGATGCTGAAAATACAGCTGCGCATCACAGAAATAAATTGCATTCTACAATATATGTAAAAAAAGTTATTTTAAATAGTAATATAATTTCACAATTTTTACTGTATTTTTTATCAAATAAATGCAGCCTTGGTGAGCAGAAGAGACTTCTTTCTCCTATATTTATTACTTGATTTATGCTACTACCAGGAATTAAACAAGAAGTAATGAAATATGATTGGTATTGTCGTTTGGTTGATACAGTTCTCATAGTTTCTAAATAATATAATATTAGATTAAAAAAACTGGCAAATTTGGTAACTAACTCAAATAAATTTAAGTTGAAGTAGTAAAATCACTAAAAATTTAAACCGAAATAAATTTAATTAAAGCTAAATGGAAATATAAAAATAAAAACCAATTTAAAGATTTTAAAAAATATTCGATGAATAAAAATTTTTGAAATTTTGCCTTGTCAGCTAACTGAAAGTGCTAAAATTGCAAAAAAAACAACAACTAGAATTAACATGAAAACTGAAAATATAAAAATAAGCTAATTCAGAATAGTAATAAATACTGTAATAGCCCTGATATGACATGCTGTGTATTTTTCCTCAGGGAGTGACGTGTATTCTCCCCGTGCTGAGGGAAGGAGTGCTGACAGGAAGTCCGGAGCAGAAGTTTTATCAAATAAATGCAGCCTTGGTGAGCAGAAGAGACTTCTTTCTCCTATATTTATTACTTGATTTATGCTACTACCAGGAATTAAACAAGAAGTAATGAAATATGATTGGTATTGTCGTTTGGTTGATACAGTTCTCATAGTTTCACTGTGTTTGTGTGTGTTGGTGCAGAAACTGGATGCTGGCAGTCAGCTGTCCCTTATTGATGACCTGCACAGGGACATCCGCTCTGCTGCCGCTGATGTCAAAGGTCAACACTTACCTGGCTTCTGTCTGCCCAAGAAGGTGAGAATCACTTACAGAGACAAACTTGCATTGGCAGTTAACTGAAATGCAAATAAGTTGAAGTTGGAGTGCTAAAATGACTAAAAATAAAATAAATATAAAGCTAAATAGAATTATTTAAGAAGCGATAATAATAATAATATAAATGGCAAAAGCAAAGTGTTCCATTCTGAATACAGGCTTTATGAATATGAAAGCGTGTTATTTTAAACAAACTTTAAAAATAATTTTCTGTAATTTAAATAAAGCTGAAATAAAATATTAATATTAGATTAAAAAAAGATTTCAGCTTAATATAAATTTTGCTTTGGCAACTAACTGAAAATAAGTACTAAAATTACTACTAAATTGGAAATAAAATGTAAGGATGGTCAACATCACCGGACCGCTCATCCGTATCCTAGGAGACCGTTTCGCTTGGACTGTGAAGACGGCTCTGCTGGAGACGCTCACTCTGCTGCTGGCCAAAGTCAGTGTCCATCACGCCTCCGTCCTGATGTTGCTGAAGACCACTCATAACTCACGCTCATATCTCCTCTCTCTTGTGTGCAGGTGGGCATCGCTCTGAAACCCTTCCTGCCGCAGCTCCAGACCACCTTCCTGAAGGCCCTCCAGGACTCCAGCCGGGCCGTGAGGCTGCGGGCGGCAGAGTCTCTGGGTCAGCTGGTCTCCATACACTCTAAAGTAGATCCACTGTTCACTGAACAACTGTCGGCCATACACAACGCAGAGGATTCTGGAGTCAGGTAAAAAAAAAACACACAGAAAACACATGCACATTTCTGCAACAGTTACGGCATGAAGTTTGCAAATACACTAGTGTACTGAAAAAAAAAAGTCTCTTCTGCTCACCAAGGCTGAATTTACTTGATCAAAAATATAGTAAAATCAGTAATATTGTGAAATAATATTGCACTTTAAAAGAACCGTTTTATTTTTCAATATATTTTAAGAAGTAATTTATTTCTGTGATCAAAGCTGAATTTTCAGCATCATTCCTCCAGTCTTCAGTGTCACATGATCTTCAGAAGTCATTCTAATAAGCTGATTTGCTGCTCAAGAAACATTTCTGATTATTATCAATGAAATAATAATTCAGTTATCATCAATGTTAATTGTTATGCTTAATATTTTGCGAAAACCTTGGTTCATTTTTTTTCAGGATTATTCTTTGATGAATAGAAATTTAAAAAGAGCAGCATTTATTTTTGTACTGTCAATTTTGATCAATTTTATGCAACTTTGCTGAATAAAAGTATTAATTTTCTTTAAAAACAAAAAAACTAAACGGACTCCAAACTTGGCAAATAAATAGTTGGACATGAAATATTGGTTTAAGTTTAAATTATTTTATTAAGTGAAAATAAAGAGAGTGCAGAGTGATGAGAGATAAGAAACTAAAACTTTGCAGGAAATAGTATTTGTGCACTGGTGCAATGAGCAATTTTACAGTTGAATGCTTATTATAACACCATTGACCAATCAGAATTAAGTATCCCAGAGAGCCACAGATACAGACAGTTCTGTGGCCACGCTTGGAAAAAAAAGTTTCTAACAGTAGTTTGGAATTATTTCTTGTTTAGTTTTTTTTTTTAACCATACATTTGTCTTAAGGCTAGCTGGCAGTAGCTGATCATTCATAACCGTAATAGTTTTTGCCAAATTAATTTGTCCCTATTAATTATTATTAGCTCTTGCTCATAATTAGGGATTCTGATCTATTTTCTGTAGAGAATAAAAATTATTTTGTGCTTATCAGTCACTCTGTTATTGTCTTCATTCTGCAGGGAGACGATGTTACAGGCCCTGCGCTTCGTCATCCAGGGTGCAGGGGCAAAGGTCGACCCCTCCATCAGGAAGAACATCACCACCACACTGCTGGGCATGCTGGGACATGATGAGGTACAGCTACTAGCCAGGGTCATTATGGTTAACAAAAATTAAATACATAATTTAAAAAAGGAGAGGGAAAAAACATATTTCTGTTAATTGAAATTTAAAAAAATAAACTTTAAATGAATTAAACTAAAATAATATAAATAAAAAAAAAACATAAGCTGCCCAGGCAACATTTCTCATTTTCATTTAATTTAACTTGAAATACTAAAATAACTAAAATTTTAATAAAATGAATCAAAACTACATAGACATATTTTTAAACAAAACCGTAAAAATACAACAAAATTACTACAACATTTATAAAAATTTAAATTTAAAAAAGAAAATATAAAAATAAAAACACTAGTAGTATCTTGATACTACAGTAATACTGCTAGTAGTGCATTTGTTTTTTTTGTTTTTACTCTACAGATATATTTAAAACAAATTATAATATAAATGTACTCATTTTAATAGTGTTTTTAATGTGTTGAGTAAACAAAACAAATATTTTTGTATAATAATAATATTATTATATATTATTACATATAATATATTTGTGTGTGTGTATATATATATTTAAAAAATATTTAAATATATTAACATTTTATATTTTATATTGACAATATATTATTATCTGAAAATATGTATGTTTAAATATATTGATGTTTATGTAAAATATTCCTATTATTGTTTCTTTGCTTAAAGACATTTGCGAATATGAATGCATGTGTTCTTTGTCTTTAAAACAGTAACTAGCACAGGATGTGGTTGTGTGAGCATGTCGTTGTTGCCTTACCTCTGTGTGTGTGTGTGTGTGTGTGTGTGTGTGTGTGTGTGTGTGCGCGTGTAGGATGCCACAAGAATGGCCTCAGCAGGCTGTGTTGGCGAGCTGTGTGCCTTCCTGTCAGAAGAGGAGCTCAAGAGTGTGTTACAGCAGCATGTCCTCGGTAAGATCACACACATCTCAGGCCTGCCAGTGGTTTGGGATGATGCATCAAGAAAAGCACTTCAATCTAGAACTGAATCCAGATCATATGACGACGACTCTCATGTTATCTGTTTGTCTGCAGCGGATGTGTCTGGTGTGGACTGGATGGTGCGTCACGGCCGTAGTTTGGCTCTGGCTATCGCAGTGAAGTCCGCTCCTGATCAGCTATGTTCGGAGGAGTACAGCTCGTCTGTGCTGGAGGCCGTCTTATCTAGTGCCACCGCAGACAGAGTAAGACACCGCAGTGAATCAGCAGAAAGGCTGGCTCATGTTGGAACCTACTGGGGCCAAAAAAAAGCCTTTTACAGTGTGTTTGGGGCCAAATAAATCTCAAAATGATGACCGTCAAATCTCATGAATATTCAAATATTCAACCTCTCAGACTTTCCTAAACCCACTGACTGGTTCTTCCTCATAAATGCTCATTGCAGCAGCTTTGCATACTGAATAAAACCCAGGGTTTCTTACACGGAGTGGAAAATACAGAATTTGATTTTAGTACTTTTCAGACCTGAGTAAGTACAGGAAAAGAGAACACAATAGTATGGAAAAATATTCTGATTTCTAAAATATTAGATTAAATTAATATTAAAAAAACTATTAAATAATTAAATTTAAATAAAAGTAAAAAAATATATATATTCAATTTATCATACAAGCAGTGTTTTTTTTCATGACATTTAGAGCAGGCAATCAACATTTTAGTAATCGTTTAACATGACTGAATAAATTGTATACTTTTGTATGTTTTAAGACAAAATTGTTAAATTATTGTAAACAATGTATTGAAATGATATTGTAGTCATAATACTGTTGATTTTGCCTTGAATATAGCCATCGCTGCTGCTATGGTGTTAAATCAAAAATAAATACATAAATAAAATAATTTATCTTATGTTAAGTATGGTCTGGAAATTTGAGCATGGAAAAGCATGTCATTTTGAAATGGAAAATTTGTAGGAGCCCTGAAAGCTTGCGACTCCTGGACGTCGTTTAACATCAGCCAATAGGATTTTCATAAGATCTTTTTGTGCACTGTGCATCCATGAGCGGTCTGTTATGTAACTGTGGTGCAAAC